GGTCATTGCTCCTATAACACAGAATAAGAAGCCTGCTCCTGGGAAGGCTTGTGCCATCTGGCTGTTCCTCCAACTATATGCTTGATTGCTCCACAAATGGTAGGAGGAACTAATTTTAGCACTTCTGTCATTTAACAAGCCACAGAATTTGCAGCATGAATTAATCCCATTTAATCTAGACTGGAATCCTTGCTGTGTCTCTTACTAGCTCTGTGACCTTAGAAAAAGTTATTTAACCTTTCTGAGCTTTGATATCTTCAAGAAAGTAGATGACTATGTAAATTGAGTGCCACAATATGTATGCAATCATCATAATGGCATAAAATATGAATTTAGTTTGAACAGAAAAATTTTAGTAATATGGATATAATTTACCCTAAGGTGGTTAGGGATTATTCATAGCTATTTTCTTAATATAAAAAACCCATTTGATAAAACTATTCTGGATGATATGGTGATGAGTATATATGTGTCATCAAATATTTATTAAAATTCCTAGAATGTGCAAGACAAAAAGTGAGCCCAGATTTTGAACTATGGACTTTGGTTAGTAATAGCGCATTACTATAGCTTATAATTGTAACCAATGTACTACATTGGGAAAGATGTTATTAATAGGGGCAACTGAAGGAGAGAGGAAACACTGTACTTGCTTACTCAATGGCTCAAAATCTAGTCTATTTAAACATAGAAACAACAACAACCAAAAAAAAACCCACAACTATTTGCATGAATATGTTTGTCCATGAGTTGACACTTCTGGAAGCTGGTGGTAAGTATGTAGGGATTAACTATACTCCTAATAAATTTTTTAAATGAATTTCCTTAAACTGAGCCTCTTAGTTAATCAACCAGAATTTTAATTCCAATAAAGGGCAGACAATGCTAAAAAGCATTCGGTAGGATCTCATCCTTACATTGAAAATACGGAAAAGCTGGAGCAATAGAAAGCAGCTTTGCAGCTGAGCCAGCCCCAGAAGTGGGCTGGATTTGTCTTTGGAGCAGAGACTATACAACAGCAATCGAGCTGTTGATGAAATTCAGGTAGTTCAGGAATGCTACTGTGGACTCTGGGAACATTCAAGTAAAGGGGAGCATTTTTAAAAGACTAGCTAAACATAACATGTTTATATGCATATATGTTTTTAAATTTATTTTGACCTTTGTGAAGATCATTGAGACCTTATAGCGTAACCACAGTGAATTTTGCTTCATAGGAAAATTAAATGATGCATAAGATTGTACTGCTGATTCTCATTGTATGTGTGTGTGTGTAAATACGTATATTTTACATTATATATATATATGTATGGATATATATATATATATCTCAAGTGATGTAGCAAAACAGGAACAAAAGATTTTGTATTGAGATTTTCAAAGAGAAGTGCTGAGATTACTCCGCAGGAGCCAGGACCATGTGGGACTCTGAGCAGGGCCATTTATTATTCTAAAATTTGATCTCCAAATCAGATTTCCTGAAACATAACATCAAGGGAGTTGGAAACTTCAAATCTTGGCAGCCTGTGCAGCACACAGGTATCTCTCAATGACTTCTAATTTACATCTTGGACAAGGGGAGTAGGGATTTGCGTATAATTAATCTCTCTCTCTTTAACTTGCAGTGTTTGAATAGTAAATAATGTTTTGAGAAGAGGAGGAGGAGGGGACAGAGGAGGAAGAACAGGAGGAGAAGGAGGACAGACTATCTTCACTCTGTAATTGCTTTCTTTGGCTTCTCATGAGAGCTCTAAATCATTCCCTGTGTTTCTAAGTGCTGCCAATTCCTAGAAATTTATCTGGTTCTAAGAAATAAATCCAAGCAGCCACAGCCTCAATCTGAAGAGCAGAAAGGGAGGTATCTGTGATGAAGCCACTTTGCACAGGGGCGCAGCTGCAGGGGTCAGGGAACACGGCGTGCTGTGGTGGGTGCTCCACCTGTCCCGACCCATTTGATCCTGCCCTACTCTGCCAAGGACCAGGCTCTATTTTCGGAGGAAGGAACTGGCGCTCAGCTTGGGATGTACCGAAGGACGCACAGCTCGTACGTGGCTGAGCGTTTGAATCTGGATCTGTCTGACCCCAAGGCCCTCGCTTCCATCATGGGGCTTTCATCTTTTACCTTGGCCTTTACACTCTGGGTCACCAAATGAAGCAGAGGGAAAAAATGAGATTCTTGTCCCTTCTCTGAAGCCAGTCAAGTTAGTATGAAAAGGAGCCTTTGTGCACCAGCAAAGATGTGAATCCCCCTTGGATAATTTCAAGGACACCCTCTCCTGGCTTGTTTCCTTTTCTTTCTCTCCCCTCAGTCTATCAAAGTGCTGCACACACACAATAGTAGACATTCCACCATTACATATTCAATCCTTTGGTTCTTCTTTTCAAAAGGAAAGCACATCCAAGTAAGAGATGGCATATGGCATATGAATCGTTAAGACTGCTGTCTTAATAGTGAGTGCACGCCTTTTCCTCCTCAGAAGAGTGGATCTTCAAGAGCCCAGAAAAGGAAAGAGACGCTCGGAGGGTTCTAATGTGGGATGTGGACGGTGAGCTGGGAAGTTAGTAACAGAGGAGAAGGAGGTTAGAAAGCCAGTCTTGATGCTGAAGCAGAAGTTTATGTTCATCAGAAAAGGCTGTCACACTTTCGGAAAAGGCCTAGAGTTACTGTCTAGGCTTACAGTGAAATAACAGCATAAGGCAGTTGTGTCCTGGGATCCCAGGGGTGACGCCAGGCACCCACTCACTGAGGCAAGCAGGGGGCGGAAAGGCCTGCACCTGTCGTGAGCTCAGGCTGCCTGGGCACCCTGCCTGGGGCCATACAGACTCCACAGCACCCTGTCCCCCCAAGCTGCAGGAAAGAGAGGCTGCCAGACACACCGTGCCTGCATTACAAATAGGAGTCATAAACGTGCTTTGTTTCATTTTAGTTTTTAAAGATTTATTTATTTGAAAGAAAGAATTACAGAGAGAAAAAGAGGGATTTTTCCATCCACTGGGTCACTCCCAAATGGCCAGGGTTGGACCAGGCTGAAGTCAGATGGAGCTTCAGCCAGGTCTCCCACAAGGTTCCCAGGGATCCAAGCACTTGGGCCATACTCTGCTGCCTTCCCAGGTGCATTAGCAGGGAGCTGGATGGGAAGTGGAGCAACCAGGACTTGAACCAGTGTCCCTATGATTTGCTGGTGTTGCAGGTGGTGGCTTAACCCGATGCACTGCAACATTAGCTCCAACATCTTTGAAGAGACACAAAAGCTAATTATTCCTAAGTATAGATGATTTCACAGACAAAAATAAACCCAGTGTTGGTTGGGTTGGGAAGAGGTCAAAGCACTGGATAGTGAAAGATGCAAGCCTGCTTGCAAGCCCTATATTGCCATGAAAAAAGTGTGAAATGCTCAGCAAGGCATCCTGATTGAGGCATCTGTTTACTCACCTATAAAAATGTTATTAGGGCCGGGCACCGTGGCACAGTGGATTAATCCCCCACCTGCGGTGCCAACATCTCAATGGGCACCGGTTCTAGTCCTGGCTGCTCCTCTTCCAAACCAGCTCTCTGCTGTGGCCTGGGAAGGCAGTGGAGGATGGCCCAAGTGCTTCAGCCCCTGCACCTCGCATGGGAGACCAGGAAGAAGCACCTGCTCCTGGCTTCGGATCGGCACAGCTCGGCAGTTGCGGCCATCTGGGAATGAACCAGTTGATGGAAGACCTTTCTCTCTCTTTCTCCCTCTTACTGTCTGTAACTCTACCTCTCAAATAAATAAATAAATAAAATCTTTAAAAAAATTTTTTAAAAGTGTTATTAATAACTTATCTTCCCCCACCTCCCTGACTTGTCAAATGAATCAGTGAATGCAGTTTGTCTGGGGTAAGGACCCCAGGAGAAGAGGCAAGGAAGGGGAGGGGAAGGTGTAATGTGAAAATTGAGCCTCAAAAGAAATTCTCGGCCGGTGCCGTAGCTCAACAGGCTAATCCTCCGCCTAGTGGCGCCAGCACACCAGGTTCTAGACCCGGTCGGGGCGCCGGATTCTGTCCCGGTTGCCCCTCTTCCAGGCCAGCTCTCTGCTGTGGCCCGGGAGTGCAGTGGAGGATGGCCCAGGTGCTTGGGCCCTGCACCCATGGGAAGACCAGGAGAAAGCACCTGGCTCCTGCCATCGGATCAGCCCAGAGTGACGATCGGATCAGCGGGGTGTACTGGACGGCCATTGGCAGGTGAACCAACGGCAAAGGAAGACATTTCCTCTCTGTCTCTCTCTCCCACTGTCCACCTCTTCCCTGTCAAAAAAAAAAAAAAAAAAAAAAGAAAGAAAAGAAAAGAAAGAAATTCTTGATCCCCTAATGTTCTGTTTCAGAGCTGCCTCCTCCCCCTGCGTTTCTTTCTTTATCTTATATACAGCTTGGTCAGTTCTGTAAACTGCTATCAGTTACACAATTAGAAAAGAAGAAAAGCTTACATTCTTAGCATCAAGATCTCTAAAGAGTGTGTTGTGTCAGTTTTTATCAACATGAGAAAATTACAGTATCTTGGATTAGCTGCAGGGAGCATCAGTAAATGCAAGCAAAACACCTGTTGAACAGAAATCAAAACCCGTCATTTCAGTAATGCTCAGTAAGTCCATTGCACTGAGTAGCTTGATTTCTTACCAAAGAAAAACTGAACAAAAAGAGATAACCAAAAAGGACATGCTGCAAGATCAGCCCAGGGCAAGGATTTTCCTACAGATACTAAATGTTTGATGCTCTTTATAAGCAATGGCAAGGATTGTTTTAAGCACTCCTGAGTTCTTAGAGCTTGAAGTTGGGGTAGGTAGTCTGACTAAAGGGTTAAGTGCCAATGATGACACCCGTATCCGGTATCGTCAGAGTGCCTGGTTTCGATTCCCTGGTTCGATTCCAGGTTCCTGCCGACGCAAACCTGGGAGGCAGCAGGTGATGGCTCAAGTAGTTGAGATCCTGTCACCTGTGAAGGAGACCTAGATTAAGTTCCTGCCTGCAGGCCTTCAGCCTGGCCCAGCCCTAGCTATTGCGGGCATTTGAGGAGTAAACCAACGGATGATCATGTTCTATCTCTATGTCTCTTTTAAAAAAAAAAAAAGTTTATAGCTAGAATCCTCTTCTCCACATCTTCCATGTGGTAAACAGAGAGGTAGATTTTTCTTGTTTCCCTACCTGCGGCTCACAACAAGCTGTTCTCAGAGGTTGGGGTGGCTGCAGTGACACGGAGTTGCCCCTTTGAAGCAGACCTGGTGATTCTAAAAGGCAGTTTAGAATGTGAGTATGTAACTCATCAGCTCCAATCCCAGTGTCAGCTGGGGCAGCAGCTACACGAGGCTTAACTAGGGCTGGCAGACCCACTCGTGTACTGAGTCACGTGATGGCTGGGTCATAGTCCAGATTCAGTATGGGCCGATTCTATTAAAAGCACCTAGGAAGGTAAGTGATTTCCCGGCTAGGCTAGGAGTTTAAAGGAAAATGGAGCTCCTGCTGCCTCTCCCGTTAGGGATCACATAATCGTGGCAGCACCGTGTCTCCTTGTGACCTTGTGTGCTCTGATGTGTGGAGGGTCTTGCAGGACTGGTGTGGGGTCTGTACATTCAGGCCTTCATGCCCTGAATGAAGGAGGCTGAATGTCTGTGTGACAAAACCTCACAGCCATCCAACAAGACTGAGGACTGTAAAACAGAACAGCACATGTGCGTCAGGTGTTCCAAGTCCTGGGAGAGAAGTGTTTCGGCAAAATGCTTCGAAGCACCAAACGGATGAGAAGCCATCTTGGGAGAAAAGAAGTGCTCACCTGGGGGTGCTAAGGCAACGCTTTTAGAAAATTACTTTTGCAGAGAGCCAAGCACCAGTCCCAGAGGTGTTAATGTGGCTGGTTTCAAGAGACTACTCAGAATTCCCACTTTTATAATCAGCAGGTTTTTGAGACACACTTTACCTGCATACCAATTTGAGCTCCTGGGAACATAGCATGTTTTGTGGGGAGGTTTTGGATAATTTGGGAATTCAGTTTGTACATGGGTCACTAAGGTGGAAAAAGCTAAGCCAGCTGTGGAATGAGAATTCCCAAGAGAAGGAGGACCTACTAGGGTTGCTTCGAACTCATCGAATACAGCTGCCTCATGACAAAATGCTGACTTCCCGGTAGCAAGAGTAGAGACTTAATTGGGGGTAAAAAGCACATATTCTTAAAATAACAAATAACTGGTTTTTTTTCCTAGTAATAAAATTAAAATTCTTGCTTTTACAAAACTAAAAAGAGAGGGTACTATTATTTATATAAAGGCAGGCTATCAATGAGTCAAATAATCAGAAGAATGGAAAACCAAACTGAAGAGACAATGGTGTCCTCCTTCTCTAGGACTTGACCAGATCCACACAGAATTGCAAATTGCCACCTTTTCTCTTCCACACTTCTTATAAGGTGGCCTGTAGGTGTATGAAAATCAGTTGTCTATGCATATAGTTCTTCTCCTTGTTGATATTTACTTGAATTATTTATCCTGTGCATCTGTTCCTCAGTGATGCATGTTAAAGAAACCTATATTTTCTTAAGATTTTATTTATTTATTTGAGAGGTAGAGTTACAGACAGTGAGAGAGAGAGAGAGAGAGAGAGAGAGAAAGAAAGAAAGAAAGAAAGAAAGAAAGAAAGAAAGAAAGAAAGAAAGAAAGAAAGAAAGAAAGAAAGAAAGAAAGGTCTTCCTTCCTTTGGTTCACTTCCCAAATGGTCACAACAGCCGGAGCTGTGCCGATCCAAAGCCAGGAGCCAGGTGCTTCTTCCCAGTCTCCCACATGGGTGCAGGGGCCTAAGCACTTGTGCCATCCTCTTCTGCTTTCCCAGGCCTTAGCAGAGAGCTGGTTTGGAAGAGGAGCAGCCAGGACCAGAACCAGTGTCCACATGGGATGCCAGCACTGCAGGTGAAGGATTAACCTACTGTGCCATGTAGAGTCAACTTTATTAATAATTTGGTTCAGATTAAAATACTCTACACTTACCACTAAATAGACTCTTATTAATTCATTTTACCCCGGTAAGCTAAATAGCAAACTAATGGCATTTATTAGGCATCTAGAAAATTGGTAGTTGTCTTCTGTTAAGATGTTTGGTCTATATTGTATCCCTCTATCCACTTGGTGCCACTGAGTAGATCAAAAAGATTTTCTCATTTGTTTTAACTACCAAGCTAGACACTGAATATATTTTTGTTTTATTCAAAAATAATTTTGAAAGGTTATATGCAGAAAATATTAAACGATTTATATATTCAAATAATTTAATTTCAGATTGAACAATAATATAAAAATAAAATAACAGAAAAGCACTAGAAATAATGGAAAATAATACAAATGTAGAAAATCATTGCAAATATTATATATTGCTATTTATTATAAGAGCTAAGCATAAACGTGTTAGAAAAAATAAAGCCCTACACCCTCACTGTTCAAAGATTCACTGTCATCAAGTTGGCAGATTTCCACCTGGCCTTTGTTTCCTTCACATATTTGTAAATGGCTGAGACCACGTGTCTGAACCTTGTTTTTTCTGCATCAAACACATCGTATTTTTTCATATCATTTCTTCTTGAATATTTAACATTGTATAATATTTATTAAATGTATTTAAACTATTTTGTTTGGGGTAGGCCATGGGCAGGTTAAGCTGCCCCCTTGGGACAACTGTAAGTGCCCTGTTCAAGTCCCAGTTACTCCCTGCTGCTTTGATCCAGCTTCCTGCTGATGCACAGGCTGAGAGCAGCAAATGACAGCTCAAGTGCTTGACTCCCTGTTCCTAGCTTCCAGCATTTGGGGAGTGAGCCTATAGATAGAAGATTCATATCTCTCTCTCTCTCTCTCTCTCTCTGTCTCTCTGTCTCTCTCTCTAATACATAAATATAAATATTTTAAATAAAATAGCCTGGGGGCTGGCTCTGTGGCTTAACTAAGCCACTGCCTGGGCCATTAGCATCCCATGTGGACAATGGTTCGAGTCCCAGCTGCTCCACTTCCGATCCAGCTCTCTGCTATGGCCTGGGAAAGCAGAAGATGGTCCAAGTACTTGGGCCCCTGTACCCATGTCGGGACCCAGAGGAGGCTTTTGGCTCTTGGTTTTAGATCATCAGCCCCACTCCAGCCATTGCAGCATTTGGGGAGTGAACCAGAGGATGGTTCTTTCTCTCCGTCTCTCTGTCTGTAGCACTGCCTCTCAAAAATAATAATAATAATAATAAATAAAAATTTGTTTAACCCTTCTTTTATTGGAAGATATATGTTTTCTCTATTTAAAATAATGCTACAGTATTTAAAGTAATTCTTTTTTTATTCCCTAAATTTTCCCAGCAGTACAACTACAGAGCCAAAATACGTGATCTTTTGTAAGGTTTATAACTCACAGTGTGGCACTGCTTATTTCATCCACTGCAAGCATCAATAAGGTGAGAACTTTCCTATTCCCTTTCACAAGCAGTTTAAGGTTGTATCTTACTAAACTCATATATTCTCACCCAAATATCCTAATATTCTTCACTTTTCCTTTTTCTCTCCTTGAAATTCATTTTAAATATATAACTACTGATTTGCATTTCTTTGGTCATCATTCCAGTGAAAACATTTTTACCAGATTTACTAGTCATTTATAGTCTTCTTATGCAAAATATTTCCTCTAGTTTACTTTTGAAATAGCTTCTCTGTGACTTTTCATGTTGGCTGGTGCCAAAACCTTTCTAGAGTAAATTCCAATAAATTGATACATCCCCTTTGGATTTGGAAAAAAACTAACAAGAACCCAGAAATGATGATTTTGCAAATGTTGGGATTGTTCCAAAGGTTCACACCTGGTATTTGATTCAAAGGTGCAGGAACATTTCACAGGACCTTTGTATAGATGTGATTATAAATTCTTGTACCGCATCCTAGACCATATGCCCATGTTATAAGAAATTATTTGAAATAATACTCAAACAAGGATTAAAATCACATTTTTTTTCTTGATTCCATCTTAGGACAATGTCCTAAAATTTCTCTTGCCTGTGAATTTTGGAAAGTCCTAGCCACAAGCCATAAAGTTCCTGTGTGCCAAGATCTCTTGGCTGAGAAATATTGGATAAGATTCAAATGTATAGGACAATACTTTTCACTTGACACAAAATTGGCTACACAAGAAAATGTGCAAGGAACATGAAGGAGGAAACTATCAATTAAGAAAGATCAATTTCTTGCTTACTAAAATAGAGTTTATGCCCCCAGATAGTGCTTACACATTCAAAATATAAGCCAAGTCATGTAACCCTTGTGCCCATGGTCCAGCACTGGCTCTATTTCACTTGCAGTAGAACTTATACCCTCTATCATTCCCTCAGAACACCCAACTCTGTCATTTCCTCCCTGCCTTCTCCCTCTATTCCATCATCTTCATTCACTATTTCCAGACACTCTGATCTCTGGACTGTTCCTGGAAGAAGCTAAGCCTTGGCATTAGCTGTTTGGTCTGCCTGGGTGTTCTTCCACTAAGACATCAATGGGGTGAACTTGCTTACTCCTTCAAATACTTAATCAAACATCACCCTTCAGTGTGGCTCCTCTGACTCCCTGACTTAAAATCATAACCTGAACACTATCCTGCCTAAAAAGTAAGAAATAACAATCGTCAGACTGTTTGCTCCTACTATAATATCAATACAGATCACTTTTTGTCACCAAAATTTATGGAGTTTCTCTCCATACCAAGCAATTCTTCAGCATATTCCAGCTGGCTATACTACAATTTAATTCAATTCTGACCCTACCTGTAGGCAGTGCAGACCTCATTGGTTAAGTGCTCAGTACCACAAGACCATTCCCCAATTCAAATGCCAATCACAAGTCTCAGATTGCGACCTGTGCCTCTGACCACTACTGGGAGTACCTGTGACCAGCTCTTGCATCTGATATTTGCTGTGGTGGCCCATAGAACTCAGAGAAATATATTACTTATGCTTATCCATTTATCATAAAGGAAATTACAAGGGTACAGATGAACAGCTGGGTGAAGAGGGCTATAGTGCAAGGTTTGTGGTAAAGGGTGTGGAGCTTCCATGCCCCCTCTCTGAACATGCCACCTTCTCAGCACCTCCTCCTCATGTTCAGCATTCCAAACCTATCTTTCAGGGATGTTTATGGAGGTGTGGTTGTTAATAACTCAATCTTCAGCCCAGCTTCTCCTTTCTGGTGATTGGGGGATAGGGATGAAAAGTTCCAGGCTTCTAACCATGACTTACTCTTTCTGGTGGCCAACTGCCATTCAGAGACATCTAAAGTAACCTCACTTGAACAAAAGATTCTCCTGGCATCCCTACTACTTAGGAAATTACAGGAGTTTTAAGAGCTTTATAGTAGATACTGGGGGGCAGATATATTATATCATATATGTACTCTATTGTTTCAGTTTCTCTGGAGAATACAGGCTAATAAACCCCTAATAATATAGATGTTTGCACTGAGTGGTTCTAGAAGAATAGAATTTTAAGTTGTTTAAATTGATCCTGAATTCGAATTACTAGAATTGGCTTTCTAACCTGTTTAGGTTTAAAAATGCTAAAGACTATTTCCTGTAGTAAAGATTCTACTGGCACAGTGGTTAAGATTCTGCCATTGGCATGTCTGGTTTGAATTCTGGCTATCCCATTTATGATCCTGCTTCTTTCTGCTATTGCACACTCTAGGAGATAGAAGATGATGGTTCAAATACTTGGGTCCCTGCCACATAGTGGGAGATTGGATTGAGTTCCAGGTTCCTGGCTTTGGCCTGGTCCTGCACTGTCTGTTGTGGGCATCTGGGGAGTGTTAGGAGACAGAAGATCCCTTTCTCTTGCTCTGCCTCTCTGTTGCTTTGCCTTTCAAGTAAATAAAAATAAATAAAGAAATAAATAAAGCTTCTTTTTGAAAAAACAATAGTCACTGAGTGATTGTTTATAGATATGCAAGCTATTGGCATTGAATAGTCCTAATCAGCCATTTAGGATCCCATGCTTTCTTATAAATCAGCCATTTATAAGAAGCAAGGAGCTAGGTAGCTGTATATGATATTGCCAAACACTTTTTTGGAAAATTAATGAATATAGTGACATTGGTCAACTGCATCTAATATTACTGGACAAATTCCCAGCACAAATACTACATCTGTGACCTAAGAGCTTCTATGTGTGCCCTAAAGGAGCCTGTGTCTCCTGGAGCTGTGGAGCTGACATTTCTGAAAATCAGATGCAGAACTTCATCTTACAACTGACCAAACTACAACACAAGCAGAATCCCCAGCCTTGCAGGGGGTTTTCTGTTGGAGTGGGAACATGGGCATGGAAAGCATGGGGTCCTATTAGTCAGAATGGGGACTTAGGGGAAGATACTTAGAGAAACTGGGGACATTGGGGTGAGGCTTCTTTGCCCAGGGGAGGAATTTCCCCCCAACTCCAGTGGTTCTGGCTGGCCTCTCCTCTCTCAGTGGTATCAGACTTTCAACCTCCTTCTGAGGGGATTAACCCCACACAGCCTGGGGAAACTGTAATGATATCCACTGAGACAGTTGCCATGCAAAATAATGCTGATCCTCTTTAGTACCTGCCAAAGGCAAAAACAGACACTAATGGACAAGAGTCAAAGCATCGATTAGAAGTCTGTGATGTTGGCTGGTTAATGACAGTATTCCTAGGAGTAAAATAGATAAAAACCCTACTAAATGCTTACTTGTTCTGTTTATGCAGGAAAAATTTAGGGTAAGTGAAAGAAAGCCTAACTCAAATCAAAAAAACTGTCACAGCCTCTTAACCAATTCCAGGAGACTCTGAATGTCACTGTGGACCACTATCAGAGGAGGACTGAATGTCACTATGGACCACTGTCAGAGGACTTCATAGGTCAGGCAGTCAAAGGCTCAGGCCCATCTGACAATGGGTCCACTGGGTCCTCAAATCTATCTTGTGGTTATTTTCCACTTCTAGAATGCATAATTTTATAAATGTACTGAGCAGCTAGCCAAAGTCCCCACACTGGTTCACCAGCCTGTGGAGTGAAAGCCATCATAGTAGGAATGGCCAAGTGGAAACCATCAGCACTATCTCTCCCTAGGAAAATAATAAATCAAAACCAATTCTGTATGCGTGGAAGGATGGCAGAGATTAGCCACAAGGACTTGAAAGATACAGGGATTGTGACTCCCACTGTGTCCCAATATAACTTTATAAATTGACCTGTACGGAAGACAGTTATACCTTGAAGAATGACAGTGTGTTATTGTAAGCTTAACCAGGTGGTGACTCCAACTGTAGCTGCTTTACCAGATCTGGTTTCATTGCTTGAGCAAATTAATGCATCCCCTGGCACCTGGTATGCAGTTATTGATCTGGAAAATGACTCTTTTCTCTATACCTGTCCATTAAAGTCCATCAGAAGCAGTTTCCTTTCAGCTAGCAATGCCAGCAATAGACTTTCACTGTCCTACCTTAGGGGTGTACCAACTTTCTAGACCTATGTTATAATTTAGCTTATAACTTAGAGATCTCGACTGTCTTTCCCTTATACGTATATGACACTGGTCCATTACACTGATAATATTACGTTGACTGGATCCACTGAGCAAGCATTAGTAGCTACTGAGCACATATTTGTAAGACATTTGCATATCAAAGAGTGGGAAATCAAATCAACTAAAATTCAGGAACCTTATACATCAGTGAAATTTCTAGCACCCCATTGGGGTGGGGCATGTGAAGACATTCCTTTGTGTACTGGAACTGTCCATCAGGAACTTGTGTTATTTGACCCCAAAAAACCATAAAGCTGGGCAAGCACAGTAGCATCCGTTCTCAAATGGAAGTGGAATGTACATGATCAGGGTCAGGCATGTCCTGAAGACACAAATAAGTTACATGAAGAAGCGGTCCAAATGTTTGCGTCTCCTCACTCCTGTGACATTGCCTTCTCTCTGCCAGCTCTTTACCTGTAGCCTCAGGGGAGTTCCCATTCATCAGTTGACAGAGAAAGTGGAGACTATGACCTAATTACAGATGGCTGTACTCAATATGCAGGTAATACCCCAAAATGGACAGCAACAGCACTACAGTCCCTCCCTGGAACATCTATGAGGAAAATCTCAATGGATAGGACTTTGGACAGTGTGCCTGATTATCCACTTTGCTTAGAAGCCAATCAACCAGATGAATTATTATTTAACAATTCAGGAGGGGCCAGTGCTGTGGCACAGTGGGTTAATGACCTGGCCTAAAGCGCAGGCATGCCATATGGGCGCTGGTTCCAGTCCCGGCTGCTCCTCACCGATCCAGCTCTCTACTATGGCCTGGAAAAGCAGTAGAAGATGGCCCAAGTCCTTGGGCCCCTGCACCTGCGTGGGAGACCCGGAGGAGACTCCTGGCTCTTGGCTTCGGATCAGAGAAGCACCGGCTAT